ACTATTGATCAAAGTGGCACAAAAGAAATGTGCTATAATGCCTACATGTACTTTTCTGGTGTCTGAACTTATTAAAAATGTATCCCATCTTTATTTAATGTCATTAAAATAGTCCAGTGGAAGAAGATTAACCCTCTATGTGTAGGTGGCTAACTAAAACAAACTTTTATAAAAATAAATATCAACAATACACTTAATGATTATAACTGAATACGCTTTTTTTCATACAGAAAGGAATTAAAATGCAGCTCTACGTCTTCATTGAAGGCATCTATTTGCATGTGACCTTAAGATGAAATCAGCCATCTGAGCCTTCTGAAAAATAATTGGACACAGGAATGTCATGAATAGCAAATCTTTAATCTTTGAACTCTGACTTAACTGGCAGTAAACTGTCATGGCCAGTGTGTGTCCAGCATACATTTTTAGACATGGTCATTAAAGTGCTGGGGGATAACAGCATGATGCCAATTAAGCCTGTTTAATGGCTGTAACATTCCTGACACAACCGGTGTTTCTTCATTCATTAAAATAGGGACGTGCACTCTCAGAAAATCACATCAGACCAGAGCGTTGTGTTAGCTGAAATAGATGGAACACTTTCACATGAGAAGGGGCATTGTTCAGAGTTCTGGAAAGAAAACAAAGCATCCCCAATGATATTTATCACGTGTATTTTACTAGTGAGCTTCATTTTTACTTCATCAGAGTTCATACAAACAGCAACACCCATAGTATATAGGCTATATTAAGCACTCAACTATTAGCATCAAAACAAAGTACTAATAGTAAAAGTACTCATTGTTCAGAATGGCACATTTATTTTAATGTACTTCATATTGAATTATAGTTACTAGTGCATTATTGTGTACATATTTAATGTTACAGTTGATAAAGGGGGAACTACTGTAGTTTTAACTACCTTTTATGTATATAATTGGATGCACTTTACATGCTGCTGGGTAGCTTGTGAATTTGCCACCAAAGATCAATAAAGTCTTATGATTATGCTGTAATTTTTGTATTAAGCTTTGAGCTTGAAGTGGAAAGGGTGAGCAGCTTTAAATACCAGGGCGTCTACATCAGTAAGGACCTCACTTGGACAGTTAACACCACAGAGCTGGTCAAACAGGTCCAAAAGCGGCTGTACTTCCGGAGGAGGCTGAGGAGGTTTGGCATGTTGCCTAGGATCCTCAGCAACTTCTACATCTGCATTGTTGAGAGCATCTTGACCAGCTGTATCACCATGTGGTATAGCAGCACTACTTCTATGAACCACAAATGCCTGCAGTGAGTGGTAAAGACTGCGGAGAAGATTACCAGGTTCCCACCCACCCCCAGCACAGACTGTTTTACCTCTGTCCTCTACCCTCAGGCCAGAGGTACAGAAGTGTGAAATACAGGGCGTCTAGACTAAAGAACTCTTTCTTTCCCTCTGCCATCAAACTCCTAAACAACTGACAGGAGTTTAAAATCAGGAATTACTTCATGTAATTCCACCCGACTGTTTACATTCTCATTTTGCACACATGTAATTGCACGTTCACTGCTTACTGTTGCACATAGAGCTGATGTAGCATATATTCTTATATTTTTGTTATATTTTTCACCAGCTGTTTTTAAATTGCCTTTACTTTGTATTATTTATCTATTTTATATTTAGACTTTATTTTGTTTGGCATTCATTGTGGACAGCAAAGGAAGAATTTCATTGTCCATGGAAACCTGTTTCCTTACTGTCCATATGACAATAAACTCTTTGAATCTTTGAATTAATCTGATTCTGAAAAGTAACTCAAATTATAAAATATGGTGGAGTAAACAGTACAATACTTGCCTCAAATGTAGTGAAGTCAAAGTATGAAGAAGCACAAAATGAAAATACTTGAGTACACACATATATCAAAATTGTACTTAAGTGTATGTAGTTGCTTTCCACCACTGGCAATGAGCAACTGAGAATGAATAGTAGCATTTCATTTATAGAACTGATTTTACAGGTTGTACTACTACAGTGTAGTGCTTATTCAAATAAAGACAATCACTACAAATGCCATGGTTATTTTAAAATAACATTTCTCTAAATGCTAAATTAGACAATAACAGCGATGTGAACTTAGTGTGTTTCCTCACAAAAGATGCAGCTCTTGTTTTTCACTATTACAATACTTCATTAAATGTCAAGAATGCTTTTCATCATCTTAGATGCTTAACCACGTGGCTGATTGCCTACACTCACTTGTAGAACCAAATGTTTCTTAAAGATGTGACTCAGCCTCACATCCTTGCAGAACTCACCAGTGAGATTGAGATAAACATTTAACCACATCTCCTGACAGAAAACTGAGGGACACTCACTCCATCATCATTATCAATAACTAAATGTATCCACTAAGCTATTTTAGAATTTAATTGGCTCATTCAACAAATTAAATTTTCATATCCATCAACATAAGCCAAAGTTCCTATCGGTCGTGTCTAATGTATTTCTTGAATTTCCCCCAGAGGCTGTTTCAAGGGCAGTCTGATAAGTTTTTGTTTCAAAATAAATTATGCAATCTTAGAAGGTCTCTGTGGTTTGGTTCATTGTAGGAAAAACTGTCTATTTGCCCATTTTATACGAGACAAACGCACTACACTGTTCCCAACTTAAAACAACACTGTGCAATTCACACATAAATAATAAGACACCTTGTCTCTTACCGGAAACGGCTGATACCTCTTGCCTTTAATTTATAAATTGCTGTTTTACAGGATTTTCTGTTCCTGTATCTCGTGGGTTGTGTTAGCTAGTAAGTGAAGTGGACATCTTATTACACAGTGTTATGAGGTTAGTGCTGCAGGGCTCTGGACAAGCTGTAGTCTAACGTGGCCTGCTGGTGGTCTGCTTGTCTCTGACTAATGGCTCTGAACATGATTGAATTTCTTTGTGCAGCAAGCTATTTAGTAGTAATAATGGAGTTTGAATGGCTAAAATCTGTGCTGTGTGGGTGGGCAAAAGCCAGCTTTACTTAAATGGTGTAAAGTAAATAACTTATTTTATACAAGCCAACTACTGTATTTCTTGATTTTCTATAGGTTATTTTTCTCCACTATATGAGGGACATATTGTACCTTTTTACTCCATTATATTAATATGTAATGGTGTAAAAAGTAAATTGCAGTTACTAAATGTTTAATTGATTCTTGATAATAAATATCTGTCCTCAGTACTTCTGGAAATGTGCATGTACTGTACATGTTCAGGTTAGCTAGTCATTTACATTGAAGGTGTACTGTTCAGAGGAATAAGGTGTGTCAGGATGGGGCTACATGGGCAATACGGTACTTGTTAGAAGTATCAATTTATTGCTGATTTTGGTCTTTTCATGGGATTTGTTGACCAAAAAAAAAAACAACACATTTTCTGCAGTGCCCTGTATGCTCCTAATGGTGAACATAGACACTAGTTTATCTTGAGCCGATCCCATATTCATTGACTTGACGACTTAAATGCCTTCTAGTGCATCATCTAATTCCTTATGACAAGCGGAGCTGGAGGACAAAGGCCTCAGAGAAAGAGAGAGGATGTGTGACACCATTAAGGTGGAGGAGAAGGAGGTTGTCACGGGGTAGAGAGTCCGAGTCGCTTAAGCATCTAGGCTGTGGGGTGTTTCATCAGGGAGCCTGACTAACCTCTGCATCCTGTCTCGATTTCCTGCTCTATGAATCATGCCAGTCCCAGCAGACAGACAGGCAGGCAGCCCACTCAGTGGAGCAGAAACACCAGGAGCTCAGTGGCTGCCATGGATACACTCCTAGAGTCTCTTTGCTGCTCTCGTCCTGTATATTTACTGTGTGCATGCGTGTGTGTGGGTTTGTTTTGGAAGCCTTGATCCTGGTCATTATATTGAGAATGATGTAGTTATGTTTTTAAGTGGAAATCTTAGTATTGAGCGGTTGCTCATGTTCTCATCCACACAAAAACCTTTGGTGGTACTTTGTATTAGCAAAGTTTTGGTTTCGTTTGGTGGTAAAGCTGATCTAGTCAGTTTTTTTATTAACAATCTAAAATTGTTAATCTAACAGCTTATCATGAGAAATCCATATAGGCACAGTTCCTCTCTGTTCTCCAGAGCTTGAAATTCATTTTTCAAAATTGGGGGGGGGGGTTCT